GGAGGGGAGCTGTTGCATTGTGGTAAACTGTGGTCAATGACATGAGACAAAGTATATGTGAACTGCTGTAAGGAAAGTGAATTTGCTCTGTAAATCTTCACCCAAATCAAAATTAAAACAAAACAAAACAAAACAAACAAACTCTCTTCCCCCAAAAACCAAAGATTCATGGAAACAATTAATCCAAGCAACTGGTATACATTTGATTCTCAGCCTATACAACTATGAGACCAGAAGAACTAGATGGTGCCTGGCCACCACTGTCAACCTCTTGGAGGGGGATCTATGTAGGAGATCCTGGATAGAGTGCGAGAACAATGTGGAACAAAAGTCAAATCATTTGGGAAAAAAAAAAAGGGACCAGGTTTGCTGGTATGATAGAGCCTGATGACTGTGGTCCTTAGCTGCCCTTCAGATCTGGAATTGAACCCACTCCTGTGGCTTCCAGCCAAACAAAAGACAGGCATATGAGCTGATCATTTACACTAGATAGATACATTCTTTGGAGAAAACAATCATGGGAGAATAGAAGGGCTGGCCGTGTATGCACAGGGAGACAGCGTAGGGGGCAGGAGTGCATAGAGGGAAGGACACAGGGAAGAGGTAACTATTGGGAGGAAGTGGGAGGGGAGCTGTTTCATTGTGGTAAATTGCAGTCAATGTCATGAGACAAAGTATATGTGAATTGCTGTATGGAAAGTGAATTTGCTCTGTAAACTTTCACCCAAATCACAAACAGACCAACAAACCAACTCTCTTCCCAGTATAGGTATACTTCACTTTATTAGCACATTGCAGATATTTCATTTTTTCAAAAATGAAGGTTTGACAACCCTGTGTCAAACAAGTCTATCGGTGCCATTTTTCTAACAGTAGGTACTCCCTTTGTGTCTCTGTGTCACATCTTGGTAATTTTTCTTTTTTTAAAATTGTGCCTTGGGTGCAAATTTTCAGAGAATTTGTTTTACGTTCAACAGTTGGTGTACATTTGGTTTCACTGCCCAATTACCATCCCCAACCCTGACCTACTCTCCTCTTCTTCCTTCCCAGTGACGCCCCACCCCATCCCTTCTTAGTTATGCACTCCTGTCTGTCCAGCTTTCCCTCCATATGAATGCTGCCCCTCTGTTACCTCATGGCCAATTGCTCCAAGGGGTCCATCTCCGTAGAGTAGGTGGGTGCATCACCCTGGGTTGGGTGTTCTGCATGTAAGTCTTATTATTGTTGGGCTGAGAGCCAGCCCTTGGGAGTGGCTTTTATCCCAGGCCCAAAGTGTGTCCCAGGGCCATAGTCTTGGGGGTCCCACCAGACTCCATCTGACCAGCAATTCTGTTTGTTACTATGTTTTTGAATTTTGTTTTCACATTTTCCCTCCCACTCTATCCAGGATTTCCAGTTTTGATCCCTTCCCAAGTGGTTGGCATTGGCAGCTGGGCACCATCTAGTCCTCATCTTGTGGTCCTGAATGTATCAAAATGTATCCAAAGTCTTAATGTATTCAAATGCCCTTGTTTTTCTTCACTCTTCCTCACCTCTGACAAAAGGATACCATTAGCTGCATCTTAGATGGCCACTCAAAAGCCTTTTTTGAAAATTGTGATTTAGGTGAAAGTTTACAGAGCAAATTCACTTTCCATATACCAGCTCACATACACTTTGTCTCATGACATTGACTACAATTTACC